CCACTTCCCTGAATGTTAACTTCCTTATAATGAATAAACCTCTAATACCTGAATAACCACTTCCATGTATGTTAACTTCCTTATAATGAATAAACCTCTAATACCTGAATCATAGAACCTGTCAGTTGGTATAACTTAATTTTGTTGTACTAAACAACTTATTTCTATACGATTTAGTCTCCCGATGGGACAGCAGTAAGTCTACGGATATACAACGCTAAACTCCGGGGTTCGATTCCTGCGATGACACATAGTTCAATTTGGCTTTGCTCTAGAACCAAAACTATACGATATATTACACATGATATGTAGAAGATGTGGGTGAGAAACAGACAGTCGATTACGTTAAACTTCTGTTCATTAAACTACTTTGTCTTAAAATCCTCCACTTTCTTCTTCATAAAAACAAAGACTTATTCTTCTCTAAATCTTCTCCTTAATGTCAGGCTGTGTTATCACTGATGTTAAAAATGCTTCACTCTTTTTCTTTTGTATCTTTTTGTATTCTATTTTATGTTTTATTTAACCCATAGTTAGGTCGACTTTTCGTATAATTTGTTGTCTGAAAAATATAAATGTTTCTTATCATAAAACATTTCTCTATAAATACCACTAGCAAGAGAAGTTTCTTTTGTTTGTTTTTGAATTTCGCGTAAAAGCTACACGAGGGCTATCTGCGCTAACCGTCCCTAATTTAGCAGTGTAGGATTAGAGATATGGAAGCTAGTCATCTCCACCCACCGCCAACTCTTGGGCTACTCTTTTACCAACGAATAGTGGGATTGACCGTCACATTATAACGTCCCCACGGCTGAAAGGGCGAGCATGTTTGGTGGGACGGGGATTCGAATCCGCGACCCTTAGATTGAGCGCCCTAACCACCTGGCCATGCCGGGCCTAGCAAGAGAAGGATTTTAATATTTTTAAAATAATAAAATGATTAAACATTAATGAGAGTTGTAAGTCTCTTCAACAGAGAGATAGACATACAAACACACTCATATTTCAGTTCTGGACAAGACCAATAAAAGAAAAAACTATCAAATTATTTAAATAAATGATTGGGCTTGGAACAACAAGAAACAGCAGTTTGTGTTTCCTCGTATGCACATAACACTAATAATCTCATTTTCTACATGACAATGTTAGAAAGATTGGGCTTGGAACAACATGAAACAGCAGTTTGTGCTTCCTCGTATGCACATAACACTAATAATCTCATTTTCTACATGACAATGTTAGAAAGATTGGGCTTGGAACAACATGAAACAGCAGTTTGTGCTTCCTCGTATGCACATAACACCAATAATCTCATTTTCTACATGACAATGTTTGAAAGGAAAAACCGAACTTTATTTATCAAGATAGGTCCTCTTCTGTAGGAATTAAGAAAAAAATTCATTTTGATATATTAAGATAGTATTCGGTGACGAATCGGGAAAAAAGGCATAAATGGAGATAGAACACGTGTTAGGCACCATAAGTTCATGAGTTTAGTTTTTGCGTACGCTAATGTGTGTGTCGGCTTACGTGTCTGTCTGATTTTCGGTTTGATTTATTCAACTGTCGCCACGCAGAGGAAATGGTTGATTCTAAGAAGGAAGAAGTTGAAATATAAACGAAATTGGGTTATGTCTTATAATTCATCTTTAATTTCTTTAGCACATTGAGCAATCGGCCACATCCACTGAGCTTGTTTGTGACTGGAGAACTTAATATTACTAACATTCCTGACGAGCAGATGGTGTAACCACTGACATCAAGATTAACACGTAAAGAAAAACACTAATTTGTAGTTTGAATTATCAAGAAACGTTTCTAGATTTTCACCACATCTATTTCAATGACGTTTCAAGACACATTCATTTGCAAACTTGTAATTTTAGAAAGACGAAAACATTTTTTATGGAAACATTAATTTCATATAATACTAATCTACATAAGATAAAGCCCATAATCTACATAATCTATATAAAGCCCAATGATTCATGATTAAAACGTTTAATATAATCACATAATGAGTAATTTATGAGTGAAAAGCAATTTTCTTCGTCAGCCTTTGAGCTTTCAGCTCGAAGTTAAAAAATGAAAGTCCAGACCATCATGTGACATGTCTTCAAAAAAGCGTATTAACCAATATTATTTTTAAAGTTTGGAAATTATAAAAGGAATGTTTGAATTAAAATTATTATTCTCTTCTGGAGTTTTATTATGCAACTGAGGGATTATATTTTACGGGAACAGAATAGACCAAATCCTTTCAGATAAAAACGTCTATAAATCAAAATTATCGTATTTAGCAAAACACTCATAATCACTTTCACCATCATGCGATTTTATTCAATTGTTACCAAGATACTCCTGACGTCACATTATTGCAACAGGACTACTGGAACCAATGAGTGATGAATAAACCGTGCCTGTTTGGTTGCTTCACAGGAGGAGTAAGTTTAGTGAGTCAGGTTATCAACTTGCCTTTAATTATGCAGTAGATACGGCTGATAGGGGTATTAAAAACTTTAATTCGAAACACAAAACAAGTAACAGCATTTCGACCTCCTCATGTCATCATCAGGCTAAAAATGACTTTTAATAGCTACCATATATAATAGATTAAACATATACAGCGCCTTCTACAATCTTATATCTATCGTTACTGTCGTCCCCACAACACGTGATCAATAACTGTTACTTTTTCAAAGTCATTCTTAACCTATAATGACCTAATGAGGTCGAAACGTTGTTACTTCTTTAGTGCTTTAAATAGAAAGTTCTTAATACCCATATCAGCCATCTCTACTATACAGTATATTTTTTTCAAGTGTTTTCCTTGTCATCACGAATTGCCTTTATTTAGTTTGTGTGTTATCATATAAATACACGAAAAATACGAAATAATTTCCGTTTTTTAAGACTGCCTATAGAGCTTTGCTAAACGGCCAGCTCAAGAAATTGCCAAGGTTCAAGAACAGCCTTAGCTTAGAACAACTGTCTAGAAGAAAGACAACTAGTAAGCAGCCCTTACACGGCTATCCTAAACCAAAGTAACACATTGACTGTTACTGTTACAATGCCCTCACAGTTGATAGTACAGAAAATGTTCATCCGTATATCGGAGCTTGAGCTTTGGACCATCTGATCGAAATGAGTGTTAATAATTTCAAAGATTCGCCTATTTCATGAATATTTTGAACTATTACAATTTTGAATAACATATCTAACTACGAAAAATTGCAACATAGCAACAGAATAAAGAACAGCACAGATATGAATTGCTATTGTGCCGTTTAACAAATAATTTTTTACTCAACGACAGCAGAAATAGTAGGACACTTTGTAGGAACCATACCCAGCATTCAGCCATATTTGTTTCTGAAAATCTACAGGAATATGCATTATTTTATATGAGCTTCAAAAGTGTACGCCGATCTATAATTGGATGACTTCTAAAATTACGATTCTTTTTGGTCAGTAGTAGTTTGTCTGAATTAGAGAAAAAAAAATCACCCTATTTAAGGCAATGGTCATGTCATTGTTATACTACATTATCTGTGGAACACACACAATTTCTGAACTTTTTGTGAAACCTTTGAGGAACTGCTAAGACGATGAACCAGTAACTCTTAGTGTTTGTTCTTGTCGAGATAGAAACGTGGTTGGATTGAAAGGTAACCTGAAAATGTAGGGAAGCAAAATGACGAGATGTTATAAGAGTAGCAGAAGTGGATGCAATCACGATAGTACACGAGTTACTCAAAAAGCTAGCCGTAGGAGAGAGCAAAGACGAAGCTGTCAAGTGTCAAAGGGAAGTACATCTGTGTATAAGAACAGTAAAGTTACGGATGTATCCGACGACTTTCCATCTAATGGGGATGAGAACGGGAGATGATTGATTCAGGATCGTTTAAGGGATGGAGAATAAGAATGAAGTGCAAGAATATTACAAGGATAAAAGGAGAGAGGAAGATTAAAATAATGTCGAAATAGCGTGATCATAGTCCACTTTGGTAAGATAGAAACACCACTCGGATCAAAGAAAACAACACGACAAAATGATCCCTACAGAGCCCTGTACTTCACTAATTTCCGGATTTGACGAAACGGCTCACTATATATCAAAATAGTCATATTTTATGCCAGTGAGTCAGATATTGCTTGTTAATAAAGAAACTGACTTTAGTGATTCGAAATGATAAGCTCTCAGGAATAACAGCACACATATTTAACTTGCATTATTATGGGGTAAGTTAGGCTTAATAGTTAAAAATCAAAAGATCAGTTTTTTTCAAAAAAGGTACTAAGTTTATTGTTTTCAATAAGAGTTGACGTGACTTGGTTTGTGTAGTAAAATAAAAGTGCTTTTTTTCTATACTCGCTTCTAAAATGTTATTAAATTTACGTTGTATTAGCAGTGTAGTGTATTTTACTATGTCTACACTACTTAAAGTACCCTTGAAACAATAATGTGGTATACAATGTCTGAAATGTCTAAAGTATCCTTGAAACAACAATGTGGTGTAGGCATTCCACTCTGTCTCAACTGCTTAAAATACCAGTATAGTGTGGTAACATTCTTTGATTTGCTATATGTTATTGTTCAGCAAAAGCCTTAGCCCCCTCCCATATATATATGATTAGAGAAGCTTCTGCCCTGAGTGCTAGTAGGAATTAGCTACATGCGGAAAGAGTCGGAACATCCTGGAAGTTATCACTTTAAAATTATAAAAATTAAAACCAACAGAGTTGATTTTTTTCGTAACAAACCATTTGACGTAAATCTTAAATTTTTATCTTTAGAAAATATCACAACATTTTTGACAAGTGTACTACTACCTAAACAAAAACATTAATTCACGCCCTCTTCATTTCTTTGTTTTAAATAGGAAAATTTAAGCTGTCATTATGTTACGGTTCAAAGATATCCCCCCGTTTTAACATTTTTTTGCTATATCATTTGTTTCTCTATAATTATTTTTCAAACTATCTATAAATCATCTTGCCTTTTTCGTTATTTCCGATCCATCTTCCATCGCATGCATAATGGTTTCCGATATCTTAGTATCTAGAAGATTCAACACCTTTTCGATATTAGAGGAATCGGCCATTCCAGTTGCCACACGATACACCGCACTCACATACTTGTTCCATGGTCTGTCAAGTTCGGCTACTTGAGCTAAACATCCATGGCCCACATTCAGACAAAACCCGCTACAAGGTTTAGCTAAAATTAGTCTCTGACAGTGTGCACAATACGTTAATCTCACAAGAGCGTTATAGCAATCTGTACCAAAGTCCATGTATTCGGTGGTGTTAATTACTTCTACACCAAGATTCAAGGCCTGTAGAAGAGAACGAGCAACATCAAATGAACGAACAATCTGAAGAGAAATAAGCATAGCTTTGTCACCAAAGGGTTTAATTTCTGAAGTTTTTTCTCTTAAGCATTGCTTGTAATCGTCGCTGACTTCCTTCATATCCGGGTTGATTATGTGATTGTATACGACTGGAAAGAGGGATCTGAAGAAGGAGTCGACGTGTGCCTCTAGATTAATGTCCTTACCTTTTAGGTAAGACAAAAGATCAAGAAACAATTGCTCAGTCGGTAAGCGAGCCACAGACTCCATCTTCTGGTAAGTCTGGGAAAACAGGGTACGAGTATTGTTTTCTGCAAGCTTCACCATATATTGAAATTTTCCTGCAATGAAAGAAAAATCTGTTAGGTTTTTAATTATTTTAACTTGTAATGATATCAACGTCGCAAATTATTCCTAGAAATACCAGTAATTTATTTATGTATAAAATCATGTCATTCAATTTAAACAATTCAATTTTGATAAACATACCATGTTAAGAGCTTCATTAATTCTATATTTCTTCTGAGGCAAATGTCAGAAATAAAATAATATTTGGTTGAGTGTATTCCTGAAGAAGATAATTCTTATACATTGTAGCACAAAAAAAAAAGATATGTGTGGATTACCTGTAGTGGCTCTCTATGTCAAATTTCACATTAATATAAAAATCATTGTTAGTCTTAAGGATAACAATTATGAGCATTGTTTTCCACCTAACTTTTCTGGCAAGAAATGAGACTAGGCTACATTCATTAACAAAGTTAAATTAAAATGTATGTAACATAATTTGTTCTTTGTAGTCGACATTTCACTACGATGACCCAGTTCAACGTTTCTCAAAGTGTGGAGCAGGCTCGATCCCGGGAGGTGCGAGCGATTAGAATAGGGTAAATAGTTCAATAATGCAAAATTAAACATTTTAATTTAATCAAAATCTGATCTTTTTGACTGAGTTATAGAGCAAAAATAGTGTGAAAAACTGGTCCCCATGTTAACAGATAGGAATTTGTTTTGGATTTTTATAACCTTGACTCTCTAAAGACTAATCACTTCTAAGTTGAGTCGTAGTTCAAATGTATACCAACTTTCTTCCAAACTCATTCAGCCGTATTTTGAGAAATCTTGCTGACAAACACACAGGGGTGAAAACATAACCTCCACCACCTTCGATGGCGAAGGTAATAATACATCATGTTACACTGTACATGTTTATATCAATTCCACTTATCAGTCTATTACAGATTCCAAATAAGAGTTGTCTAAAAATAGCGTGTCAAATCTAATTTTTGTCTTCCACAAGTAATTGTTCAAAATACTTTTTTGAATGCCATGAAATAGGTTACTGATACACATTTGAATTACATTTACGTGCAGCTTTAAAAACAAAGCTAAGTCTTAAAGGTTTACGCTAACAAAGCAAGAAGTATTCAGGCGTAAAGATGTGGTAAATCGTGACATTAGACTATAATTTTATATTTTTTATATATTCATCGTAACTTTCATTGCTACATCTTAGATATCAAGTATCCAAAGTTTCCAGTAAACATAAAGCACTTAAAACTTTTCAACAACATCACAATCTACGTGTCAGGTTTCCAGGGCTTTCAACCGCCATCAGATAATTCAACTATGTTTAACAATGACACAAACTATAATATATCCAGATAATCTAACAATAATCAGACATCTAAACTGATCGACAATACAGCAGCTTATACAAAAATTCAGTGTTCTTCAACAAACAAAAGATATTTAAGCATTCCAACAACAACAAATACACTGGAAGTATTGAAAATAGTAAAATCTGTGTTGGTGAGTGTCGAATCTTGCTGATGGCCTATTTTCATAAAGAGATGGCCCAAACTTTGCGATTAATTACACCTAGACATTACCAACTGATGATGCATCCTCACCAGACTTATAAATGTTTTTAATAGGAGTGGAGTTATATTTCGCCAGATTTTTACATCCTGTCCCTTCTGTTTCTCAATTGACAGTTGAAAACATCCTAGGGTAGTTTATTTGGATTCAGATCAATGCTCTGTGCAGGTAAAGACATATTTGGAACGTTGTTTGTCTTAAACTACCACTGGACAAGACGTATTATTGTGCGGAAAGTAAGTAGGTATAGATCTTCCACATAGATTTCTTCCAATGCAGAGTTGCCCAGAAGTCTCCCTAATTTCGATGCTCGAGACACCTTGAGAGTCAGTGTTATTTACAACCGTAATGAGCGGCTTGTGGTTTGTAGGCGTCCGTGGAATCTAGTAAGGTGAAGTTTACTGCACACTGGAATGTGATGGATTTAAAGCGTGTTACGTGGTATTGTTTCACGCAGACCGCCAAGTTAGTTTGCTGGGTCGAGTACTGTTTCACGCAGAGCGAGAAGTTAGTTTGCTTTGTCGGGTACTGTTTCACGTAGACAAATAAGTTAATTTGCTTACTCGGGTACTGTTTCACGCAGACAGAGAAATTAGTTTGCTGGGTCGGGTACTGTTTCACGCAGACAGAGAAATTAGTTTGCTGGGTCGGGTACCGTTTCACGTAGACAGAGAAGTTAGTTTCCTGGGTCGTATTACATGCTGGCACATCCATTAGTCTATTTGTTTTCGAGTAGACAGATTGACTTATTCCTGACACTCATATCACCAATGTTGCATCAGATAACTACTCCTTTTTTGAATGTTCATGCCCGTCATCATATTTTTTTATATGGTATATTCGCTATACAAGCTCTAACAATTCGCCAGAAGATTCATGTGCAAATTCAGTGGGTTCGAGGTCTATGCGGGGGAGGACATATTTTGTATTTACGTCACTGCTCTTCAGGAACACACTTTAAACTCACACTCAAGCAACAAGAAAAAAAAAGTCACATTACAAAACGATTAGTAACGTCACTTTATGTCAAAGTGATGACAGATTTTGAATACATTTACAAATATTGTTATACTCTTGATTATTCTGGGAAATTATACGTATACAATAATTAATTCTAATATGTAGTGTCAAACACGTTTCAATAACGTCTACCAAGCAGCTGTGGAATCTTAATGGATTCAACAGCGAACAACAAAAGGTTAAAAGTGTGCTCATTACTAATCCCTACTATCCCTATTATAACCCCTACTGTGAGAATGATGATGTTCATATTAAATAGAGAAAGTCTAGTAGTCATTCACTCGTCATCCAGACAGGTACTTTTGCTAATTACACCTTTCTCTACGTACACATAGTAAGCACACCTACACGCGGGTGTGTTATCTTTAAAAGAACACAGGGTGCCATCAAATCCTGTTCTCTGTAAAGTTTTTTGGAAAGCCCGCTATCACAAGCCGAGAGGCCCATTTGAAACGTATTCAAGAATTACATATATACAACTAAAGGGTTCATTACTATTCATTTCTATGCACATACTTATAAGTTATAAATAAACAAAGTTACTTGTACGGAAGAAGCATTCATGTAAGGAATAGCGTGCCAAAGGCAAAGTTCGTACTGGATTAAGCATCCAGGCATCATTATCAATCTATTTCTCTGGTCAGTTCCTAAAAGAATACCATTACATATGAAAGAGAATAATATGTGTCAAAAGATTCAAATAACCGTACAAACAACAACGACACTGGTTTGTTTGTTTTGAATTTCGCGCAAAGCTACACGAGGGCTATCTGCGCTAGCCGTCCCTAATTTAGCAGTGTAAGACTAGAGGGAAGGCAGCTAGTCATCACCACCCACCGCCAACTCT